CAATCACTCATATGATAAGCTCTGCTCGACAAAGTCGACAGCGGAGCTAAAAAAACCCATGGCAAACGTTGGATGTTGGCTAAGTTTGGCAACCAATCATATTCTGGTTTGTATGAGTGTTAACTACTAGTAACTTTTTAGGGCATTCACAGTTTTCTGTTTTCTGGATAGCGCCCTCAGTGTTGATCTGAAGTAAGCTCTGTAGGAATAACTTATATTGATGACAATTTGAGGTCATTCTCGGGACTTGTTGTCTAATGCTAATAAAATGTGTACTACTAGAACAATTGTACCACATTGATGCACAGTAAAAATACACACCTTTTCAGAGTATTCAAAGCCTCTCCAGAAAGCATCAAAATCTTTCTTGGTGGTCCTTTCTGGAAAACAGGCGACTGTTTTAATGTAAGCTTTCAAGTTCCTTTCCAGTAGGTGATTAACCTCACCATAGTCATAATCATCATGTCTAATTCCATACATACAATGAATATAGTTCCAAATTGCTCTTCTCAAAGTTGACGTATCCACATTCCTCTTCATACCCATACTACAACAAAGTGAGATGAAGCATTCAACTTAATTATACTGTATGGCCAGAAAAAAAAAAAACTCATGGAAATTTTAAAATGAGGCGGTGAGGCGATTTTTTTTTAGGAATGCTGTGAAAGAAAAAAATGTGTTTGAGACGCATAGTTCAAAATGATACGCACAGAAACGAAAAACAGAGATATTTTTTTTCTCAATCTGATGTTTTTCGTTCACTGCCAGATCCAATATGTGTGAAATCGAACAAAGGTCATAGCGTCGTAGTGATGTTAACAAAATCATGTGGGATTCACCAAATATGAAACTTCATGTATTTAAGAAGCATTTTCACACTGATAAATTGCTATACACATTTGATGATCAATTTTGATAACAAAGAAATCTCAACACCGTATTTCAGATTTTCGGCATTGAGCTATAAAAATGAAATTCAAGTTTAAAACATAAGACAGCTATTAATCCTGTTTATTCAGGATAGTCAGGTTAAAAATTATTGCATCAAATCCCCAGAATTTTAAATGGCCCATTCCTTACCTAATCAGTAGATTTTTTTGTATCGAAATGTTACACACCTAACCCAATAATCAGTAGATGTCGTGTACCCAGGTTTTTTTAAATGTTCTACCCAAACTGAATATTCCATACATGTGTTGATTTCTGAACCCCACACTTGCAGACTCAATAGAACAGTTAATATCTCTAATCAATTTATAAAATTTGTAAACATATAAAAGGCACAATTATATATAATGTATATCAAGGGTGCTAATTAAAACGTCACACAGTATTACACAGTATACAATGACAACCTGGTTAATGGTTTTTGCATGTGTACAATGTCTAATCTAATGGTAAAATAACTGCCTTGTTTGCTGTTGTTGTTATAAATATAAGACTGATATACTCACGTATTATAGGTAAGCTCATATGCCGCATGGAACTTATCATCCAGGATTGGACCAATATCAGAATACAGTCTATTCACTAAGGAGAAACCATGGTCTTCCCAAGAATAATCCTAGAAAACACAAATAGAAACTCATTGACCTACACATTGAAAGATAAATGGCACATATTGTCCTAAAGTTACTTTTACACAGAACCACATGCGTCATAAACCAATTACGTTATGAGTTTTAAGGATACTTGCATTTTTCAGTTTACATCTAATAAACTCATTATGAAGTTATAGATGCACAAGTCTGACTAAGTTATGACAATAACATACACAGGTACTACTAGGAAAAATGTATTATTTGATTGTTTTTTGTTCTATTCCAATAAAGTATACACCATGTACATGAGCTAGATCCTGAGTTTACAGAATGACTAACACATGTTAAAATAGCAAAATGCCATTTTAGTAAATTTGACTAAATGCATGAATTACAGAATATTAATTTGGTTAAAGTGACAACAATCCTATTGTGAGAATATAGATTTTATCTTGAATTAGCAAAATTAAGGTTTAGCTAAATTAGCTAAAATACAGTTGCACTTTTACAGTTGCTCAATATACTTATGAAGACAACTGAGATTAGTTTTTGCTTTACATATAACCAGCACCATATAGTTAGTTTAAATGCACACTTCTGGCATCAAAAAGAGAGTGTTGAATATGACAGCTTATGGATCAAAATAACATGTATCCAGACATGAAATTCCACCTGAACAGTCTAGTGTGTTTTGATTGCGAATCAGTGACACACCAACAACAAAGATGTCCTTATACTGTTTGAAGCTAACTCACCTGTACTCTGAAAGTAGGTATACTCGACATTGACCCTCTCTTGGCAAAATCTTCATAAGAGAAGTCTGGATCTTCAATGTATTTTGACAGACCAGCTTTCAAAACATCCACATCCACATCCACATGTTCCTCCGGATGTGGCAACACTGAAAAACAAAATTGATTACATGTGCATTGTGAATAATTCCTGTAAAACATCTCTTTTTGTTACAATTTTGCTTTAGCTAATCTATAATTCCACAAACAGTTAAAATGAATGTGAAAACAGCATTAGCAAGCGATACATGTATGTTAATTTTTGCCTTTAAGCAAAATTTGCTAAAATGACAGGTAGCCATTTTTAAGTATTTTACACTAAAATTATGCTAATACTGAAAGCCTTTGTTACTGATGCATGAGCCTTTTTTTTAGTGATGTTCTTGTAAAGATCCCCCATCCCAGCCATAAATCCAGCATATAGACTAGAACTGCATAGTATTCCAGATTTGAATGCAGGTCCAGATTTGACTATGCAAAATTAGAAAATTATTCCCAAAATAGGTTTATTTACCAGAATTTAAAATATATTTTAAAGCAATACAGTGTTGTACTGTTATGGGACTCATAGCAACATAAACCGTGCATTTATATTACATTAATTGGTTACGCTTGCGCTGCATGATGATTTTATCGCTTTTTGTCCTAGGTTTTTTACTCCCATGAGACAAATTGTCTCACAAAAAAATAAGAAAATACAAGCGAAAATTAATAGGTGCAGAATAAAATTGAAACAAACATTTGAGAACACTGTCTGCACTCCAATATAAGGGGAACAAAATACTTCATTTTTGTCTTTGGTTTCACATGGATGTGTAATTGTCTCATACTTTCTAAACAGATGGAACAATTGCGTCCCACTATATCTAGTGAGAACATTGTTCTGGCAATGTAAAAATAAAATCAATATTAGTCAAAGTGACAACTGTCAACTGTGTTTGCATGTGTATTCGTTTATTATTAAGAATACTTTATTTTGACAGACTTTTGAAACAATGTCAATGCGTCAATGGTCTTACTTACACCCTTTACCCCAGAGAGGCATTTTGTTGCTAGAAGAAAATATCTCAAAATAGGAGTACGTTTTAATTTATATGTCACTATAGTCTAGGGAAATCATTAACTTGTACAAAAATTCCCAGTGGCATGCTTGTTAACTAAGATTAGCTGGAGAAATTGATCAGAAATCTTAAAATAACAGCAGCATTCACAAGTTACAAATGGGGATATTATTGGCTCCATTGTCAACTTAGGTACTAATTATTCTAAAACACTGTTTCTACTGATCTAAAGAAGTTGACTCAGCCATAGATGATCGATGGCAGATACTATGAGTGTATTTAACCCTTATCCTGCCAGCCCCATGCACTTTTACAATGTACATTAACTTGAGATAAGAGTTAATAGTTATTCACTGGCTTTTATTGCTGCTGGTAAGTGAATTTCATTAAAATTAAATCCATATAAATATGAATTTACAATAAAACTTGTTTGACTGGAATCTTTGAATTAAATGCACATACCAGTGAAAATCTATTAACTATTCACAGGAGGAGTAAAAGACATTTTAGCTGCATTAAATAATAATGAATAAAATCATGAACCTTATTAAGTTGCCGGGGCCTAGATATAGAGGGGTTTATCTGGGGTTCAGGAAAACATGCTAGTATACTGCAAGTCATTATTTTCTACTTCACAAGCAGGCTTTACAAACTCTACAATATGTGGTATTAGATATGCATCAATGCATACCCGTAGTTAAAATGTAGACAAAATATTTTTTTATTTATCTTGATGGCATGATAAATAGAATCCTACAGGAATGCGAAGATTTAATTTCCAGTTTTAGGTCAGTGTATTTTATTTGAATATGAGATGAGACTACATCGAATGACACCCGATATAAATATTTAAGGCCAATAACATAAAAATAACATTTGAATTTACAAATGGTTTCTACATTTGTAAATTGTATAAAAAGCATTTATCAATGAAAACAAAATTAAGCAAGAAGTGATACAGTATTTACTTTAGCAGTAGTGCATGTTTCCATGGTTAAAAAAGGTGATTTAATTTAAACTTAATGATCCAGTTAAATGCATATTACCCCCCGGTAATAGCACAAATATGGTATACAGTAAACCACTTACATTTTCATGAATTTTGCAAGTTGAAAAATTTTGAAAAAGCAGTAAAAATTTTATTGCAGCCATTTAGAAAGGGAGTTACAGTGATCTTCTCAAATTTTTTTTTCTAGCAACATATCCATTATCATCCTATGATAGTGATACTTACATTCAACACTCTGTTTTTCTACTTTTTCAAACCTCTTGACCCTTTCTTCCTGTGTGGGTTCCTCAGCTTCAGACTCCTCTAATCTCCTCATCCGTTGCATCAATTCCTCAACTCCCTCACCAGTTTCAGGATCCTGTTATTAAGAAATCACTGTTATGAAGCTAGTATAGAAAAAATATTAAATTTGTACACCAGAAACAACCAGTAGTCTCAGTTCCTCTTTCACACGCAAAAACAACAGGAAGGAAGTTTTCTTGATGTTGTACCTGACTAATTTTCTTTATATAGTTTCAAGGCGATCAAGACATTTTCAAATTTTTTGCGTCCAAATAAAAAAGAAAGAAAGAAAAAAGTGTTCTCACAGTTCGGAAGTTCAGGTATACCGTGAACAGGCAGCTAGGCAACTATTGTGTACATGTTCATACATTCTCCAGCACAGAACAATAATGATCAAATATCAATATTATTTCAGTAATGTAGCAACATGACAGTTGACTGCATGTGTGCAGCTTTTCATCAACCTTTGAGAAAGAGACCTGAATCAGGCTGTGCAACCAGGTCATTGACTTACTTTATTCAAAAGCAGCGTTCAGTGAACTGAGGATGAACTTGTAAATGGAAATTTGTACTTTTGCATACCTGATTTCTAATCAAGTTTTAGTGTTTTACATGTCCAGAGATACAACAAATAAGTTAGAAATTTGTTTGGTGAAATTTAAGATCCATTTGGTCAGGCTAAGGCTACCCCCTTCCCAAATCCATAACAGGTTGGTGATTTTATTTTCAGTCCACCCTGTAGCTACATGTATTTTCATTGTACCAACCCCAGTCTATAATTACAGACCCTCAAATCTCTCAGCATTTAGTTTGTCTCGTCAAAAGTCAATAAATTCACGGAGGTGGAGCTACGTTGCAGAACATTTTATGTTTCTTAGATGCACACAACTGTACCAAGTATTTCTATGGCCTTTGTGCACGTTGCTGTGGAATGCAGGTCAAAGAGTCAGTGAAAACGCAACAAAATCCTGAGCAACCAAATTTATATATGTTTCACATATTAGGGTAGTCTTGTTACACTGTTCAGGAAAGTCAACAACTATCACAAAGTACAGTTTTCTGAAAGTTCTTTTGATTTCACTGGTGATGATTGCCAAGTAGTGAAAATACCTGGACATTCGGTCCTGAGAATAATCCAGCTATGTACTAAAGAACTCATTTTCACTGGAACACATTTTCACTAATAACAGCATTTTGGGACATACCCCGGGTAGTTTGTTTTGTTCAGTGATTGATATTACATTCTAAATACAGAGATAAAGGTGTTTTCTTCAGATTATATTTTTTGCTAAGTCAGCAAAAATTAATACCAGTTTTACTATTCATTCAAGAAGCTTAGCTTCATGTGGGAAATCAACCTATTTGCAAGCAGAAAACGTACCAACTGTATTGAGTCCTGACAAACTAATTCTTATTCAGAAGATCAAACAAGACTGAATGAAACCAATACTTGGATGGAAACAGGGGATCCATTCATAGTATCAAGTAGTCTTCAGTCAGTGTGTGTGTGTTTAAAATTTGTTTAATCTCATTACTACTATTTATTTTGTTAGAAGATACCCAAGTTCATGCAAGAGTCACCGGGTATTTATTTACGAGTTACACAGGTGGTGAATTTCACACTAGCAAAGAAGTACTATTTATTGCTACCAATATGTTTTACTGTAAATTGCTTTTACTCTACTTTACATACATCAACATAGCTGCTGAGGAGACCTCAAAGTTCAAGAGCTGCACACATCTTAAATTTGAAGCTATATGACAGCAAATGCTATTAAATATAGAATGTGAAAACACATTTAGTGTCATACTATTAAATTCTATTATTAGAATCAGCCAGATTTGTACAAGTTCATACGGACACTCTTGAAGAATGAATCAGTATTTTTAATATCAGGGAGGTCACAGAGGTCAATTTGAAACAGTGTTATTTAAGTTACCATAGGGTTTTTAATAAAGTGAGATTTAGTAGAGAACACCTGTAAGGTTCGCATAACCGCATTCCATTTAATTTTATTATTCAGAAACATGTGTATCAAATCTTGAACTCTGTATTTTAAAAAAAAACAGTCGTCAAACAGCATGTGATCAATTTATGTTATATACATCACATGGGACTCACATCAAAATGACTGTAATTACAGCGTTATGTCAATCTGCACATATACAATCCAATTTCTACAGCTTGAGTACAATGGTTGATTGATCCATTCCAATACTGTTTTGCAGTCATGTGTAATTGCATCATTAATCATGTTTCCCTTCAGACAAAGGTATTACAGTATTCATAGGTGAGCATGTACAATAGCCTTTCTAGAAATATTCACTCTAGGTACATCAGTTTGATATACCTTAATCTCTGGCAGAGGTGCAGGTAATGTTTAAAGGTAAATTTATACACAAATTACAGTATCACATGTTCTTTAAAATGTTATAATACTCTACTACATTAACATTTTATTTGTTTTCATTCAGCAATCATGTTCTAAAAATCATACCCCTATCACTGTTTCGTTGAAATGTAGCTTTCCTGATATACGTCAATATTTAAAGTGCTTTAACTGGCCTGATTTTGCGAGAGTTGGATCATAGGAAAAATAGTGATAATTTTGGAACAGGAATAATTTTCACAGAGGCTTATTATAGATAACTGATAATCCCTATGTTAAGCTATCATATTGTACAAAAACGTTGGCAGCATAAAATTTAATGGTCATCTTTAAAACAAAGATTGTTCCTCTATACTTCCAGATACAAGTGTCTTTCATACTGCTATAACTAATGACAGTAAAAACCTCTCAGACATGCAAATGTATTGTTACATTGCAGCCACAACACATGATTAATAGGCACTCAATGTTGGGTGAAAAAAACGCTTTTCGGCCCTCCAGCTATATCAAGAAATAGTTTCTCTGCAAGGCTTGTGAAGCAACACCTAAATCACACATCTACACTCCTAAATCACTGGAAGTAATAGCGTAAGAACAATTACGTTTCAAAATGCAGCACCAAATCTGAGTAGTAGTACCTTTTAAAATGCAGTGCAGAATTTAAGTATCAGATACTTAAATCAAAAGTGGAATTTATTGCTAATGTTTTTTTTTCCCAATTTTCAGAAATGGTATAAATGTCAATTAATTTAATATTTGTCTGTGTTGAGGTTGATGTATCGGCTGTTTTTACATTACAAGTACAAAGTTGGTATGTTACCAACATGTACCAGCACAGCTGAGGCTCAGTTTAATGTGAGGACAACTCACTGGGAAAAAACAAGTTGATTTCCGGACATTCAAGTAACTGCTGTCAAAATCAAGTTTAAACTGCTTAGTGAACAGTCGGCTCTGAGAATCGAACCCAGAACCTCCCTGGTACAAGGCAAACATGCAAACAACTGTACCATCGCCCATGTCACCTTATATTATATGTTCAATGTACAAGAATACACAGTTTCCTAAGACTCTGTCATTGTGGTGGATTAAAATCACAATGTGTGGGGAGTAAAATCCTAGTGAGTTCCAGCCATACCACTGACAGACATGCCAGGCAAGCCAGTGATATTAGGACCAAGAAAATCATGTTCGTAATCTCCTTTGGAGGCATCTTATATTACACAAGTCATGAACTCCAAAATCAAGTAAGCTAGGCAATTCTTGAGGTGATCATAAAAAGTGAACCGAGCATACACATTTATGACACTGAAAGACTTTTATGCGAGAACATTCATTAAACATATTTTACAATTTAAATAAACATTTTAATAATTACTGTAAAAGACTTGTAATTTATTTTCAATGAACAGGTAAATTCAGCGAGAATAAAATCAAGTGAAATATACTTTGCAATAATGATTTACATGAATATTATCCAACAAATTAGTGAAATTAAATTTATCCACAGTATTTACATATTTACTGCTCAGAAAATGGCTGCCAATAAAAGTTAGTTGGTAGTCATACCGGCAAAGGTACTTTGCTATTACATGTACCTTACAGTATAATGCTTATTATTTGAACATTTTTGGGGGGCGGAGCTACATCACAGAATGTTCTAGGATGTGCACAACTGTACCATGTATTTCTATGGGCTTTGTGTGAACAGGCGATGAGGCAAGTGAAAACAGCTAAAGTCAAGAAAAAGCACAAACTCAATCTTGAGGTAATTCCAAGCAACCAAATTGATATATGTTGCCCAAGTAGGGATAATCTTTTTACAGTGTTCAGGAGAGTCTCAACAGCTAGCCCAAAGTACAGTTTTTTTTAAGAGTTTTTGGCTTTTGTTTACGCTGGTGGTGGTTGCCCGGTGGGGAAAATTCCTGGATGTGCAGCCAGTAGCAATCATTTCTTGCACAAGTTCTGCTTAGATGCAGGAGCAAAATATTAAAAAAAGAATATTGGACTCACCGATTGGACATGGTTAGCATCGGCAGAGTTTTGACAGTTAGACATGTGATGATCTTTGGTGTTTGTAACTTCAGTGACTGAGGGCGGCTTCATGGTATGTCCCCCTTCCATATCGATTTCTGGATGTATTCCGCATCCGTAGACATAGCTACAGAGACTGTGGAAGTGTGTTAATAATGTAATAGCATGCACCAATTCAGATACTGACCAATTGTCTTCACCTCGGAGTAGTTTCTGTTAAAACAAAAAGGAATAATGAAAATAAAAGATATAATTGTGCTAACCATAACTATTCAAGATTTTTAATGTGTCTGGTTTGTCACGTTTTATTTTCTACTGAGGTGTAAATTGTCAATCACAGAGAAAATTAATTATAGATCACTATGTTGATACTGTATTGGATTTTGGTGTTTTCTAGGTTGTAGGCTTCAATTTAATCAAACTAAGGTAAATTTATCCAGCATCATATTAAACTGGCACCGCAATGAATGTGGTTATTTTAAATAATAATTTTTTTTATCTGCTTTATTTGGAAGAATCCATTTAATTATTAGAGCAAACAATACTGTCACCACCCACATAAAATAGTATGATCCATTACAGAATGGTGAAATTACCATTGAATTGCAAATATAGGATTACTCTAACCTAAACATTATTGTAATTACTTGAAAGAGTCAGTTATTCTGCTTCCTTCAACAAATCAATAATTTAGAAGTAACATTTAATTATGACTGAAACTAGAAGCTCACGGTAAAACCGTTCTGTATACACTGGGTATACATGTATGTGTGTGTATTTGTGTGGGAGTAAGTGTGGGTGTATTATTGCTTTCTCTCATTTGGTTCTATGGAAGGAACAGAATGATTTGCATCTTAGTATATGCCATGAAAATAGCATACAGCCACACAGTGCAGCAAGTATTCAAACTTTTTGTAAATAAGACATTTCAAATATGTTGTATATGTTGCATGAGACCCATATTTAACACAACACAGTGCAAAAACTGAGATGCTTTTAATTGAATAAAAATTCAATGAGATATAGAAAGCAAGATTTGTTTTATTTGTATGATCAGGAACATCTTAAATAAACATGTTAATTTTTAGTCTATGTCAATGTGCCAAGTTTAAGTGGAATTAATATATATGTGGTGGATAAGTTTATATCGCAAAACTAGGCGTTGGGGTGTTCTTTTCGTCACATAAAACGAACTGACTAATCATGCGGAATTGTTATTGAAACGGACATCGATTGCGTTGTGTTTTCTTGAGTTGAACAGACGTGAGATATAAT